AACTTGAAGGGAGAAAAAAAAGGGGTACACGTACATGTTACTTATTTTGGGTTGTTCGGGTCCACTTCTTCCCCGCCCCCCCCCACCCTTCCTCGGGGTCTTTGCCGTCTGTCGAAGTCCGTCAGCCCGACTCCCACCGACGAACGTGCGTCTTAGAGTGTATTTTTGTTCGGGGATGACGCGCGTGCGACTGACTCGGAAAGATTTCGAAAGTTTGATTGTTATGATCTTGCTCGAGACTTGATTGACGTCTTGGAACTTTCCAACCTTTTGGTTTTTTGGGGGGTTGCATCTATATTATCCATTGGATTCGAGTACGAGCGGAATGAGGTTACAGTTAGAGAATAATGTCGATGGTGGTTGGCTGAGAGCGCGCTCTGCGCCACACTATCAACCAATAGTGATACATAGCGTGATGAAATAAAATTGGAATTTGACGCCAAGGATTTCTTTCGTGTTATAAATAGTTATCGAAGTTTAGTTTGGTCGTACGACTAAAATGTTGAAGCACGTTCGTAAGTAGGTTTGATGGGTGCTAGACAGTAGACAGGGATGGGGTTAAGAAATTCGGCCAGAAATCGTTGCTTTTAGATCGTACGTTGGTACCTGATAATAGGTATTGGATGCCTCTTGAAGCTTGAGCCTTGAACGGTCTTCCAAGAGCTACCGGTACCACGTATTTATCGGACGACAATATGTTCCGAGAGGCAAGTATGTTTCTTTATAGGTTTGGATTGGAGTTCCCGGGCAAAGGCTGTACCTTTAAAGTTCTTTTTTTACTCCAGCGGCGTTATCATTTCGATGACAGGTTTGGACAAAAAGAGCGTGTACGGTGCTTGTGCTTGCGGGGAACATCTAGCCAATCATTAAGACTCTGATGAAAGGGACCTGGACCTGAAAGTTCGGTGAGAGGAACGATTTTCTTTGAGGGCTTTTGAGAGTATGACTTGAGAGAGAATTTGGTCAATACGGATCTAAGGATGTAGAAGACACTAAGAGAGCGGGAAGTGGACCCACATGCACCGGGGAGAGTAACGTCAGGGTAATGCACCATCAGGAAAATGAAATGAATGGGTTCCGGATGTAGGACCCCGGAACTGTATTGTATCAACACTTATAAAATGGACCAACTTGTTGTTGGACAGTCCGAGTTGTTCGAGTCTTTCCCTCAACCTCGACCTCTGAAGTATGTCCGACCAGGTGATCACGACTCGTGACCGTCTCAGGAGCGTTTCCCTCATTTTCGCGTGCGTGTTGGACTTTTAATTTGGCTCTTGCTCTACCACTCACCTTTTTTTTGTAGATGCGGAACGGCTCTGTTCTCAGACGGTATGGCTTACTTGCTGGTTGGTTTGTAGGGAGAATGTGTGTGAACTGATACTTGGAGGGGTCAATTTTCAGGTTATGCCAATGGTGTTATTAGTTCTGGTGTGTCTTCGACTTGATTACTGTCCTTCCTGCAGACGAGCTAATCGACCTTTCCTTATCTTCTTCCAAGTCAATACCCGTTCGTGCCAACCCTATGCCCATGTTTTCGTCCTTCTCACCTATTCTCGTATCTAGTGTTAACTCGACTATATCCGGATGAGGTCGTTGCGAACAACTACAAGACGATCGTTAGCAGTCTCGTCTTTGCTGGAACGGTCGTTGGGATGCTTACGTTCGGTGCGTAAACTCGAGAAAGGGAACCCTCCAAACTTGGTTTCTGACCGGGATAAATCTTTTCTAGGCTGGTTGTCAGATAAAATGGGAAGGAAATTCGGAATGGTGAGTAACTTGGCCCCAGTTGAGGGCTGTTGACGGGGAAAGAAAAAAAAAGTTGGGCTGATATTCTTTCGGTTGATGGTGATGTTGTTGGGAAATAGATGACAGCAACTGGAATCGTCGCCTTTTTCTCTCTCCTCTCCGCTGCTTCTCAAGGCGCTCACCGTTCGGTCGCGGGAACGTTGGCCATGTTGAGTGCTTGTCGGTGCGTCTTTACCTACTTCCTTCCCTTTCCTGATGGATAGTAGTTATATTGACTTACACAATCCCCCCAGGTTCCTCCTCGGTATCGGCATTGGAGCAGAATATCCCTGCGGTTCCGTCTCTGCGTCTGAACAAACCGAACAGAAAGGGATCAGTAAGAACGCTCAACACAGGTGGTTCGCTCTCGCTACTAGTGCGTATATCCTCACTCCCTTCTTTCCTTCCTATCTTCCTCCCTTCTTTCTTTTCTCTCTCCTTGCTCTTTTTTTCGCGCGCATATATGTTGAATAACAAACAGACTCTATGATCGACTTTGGCTTCGTCATTTCCGCCTTTGTCCCTCTCGTTCTTTGGTGGATGTAAGTGTTTTTTCCCGCTTCTCCCTTTCCTTTCTGCCTTTTATCCAATCAACCAAACTAACCTCCCCTGCTTCCCTCCTCTCCCTCTCTATCCTCTTCCCTTTACTTCCTCCTCTCCCTCTCCCCAATTCCAATTTACCCACCTCCGAGCCATCTACCGCCTCTCCCTAGGCCTAGGCTTCGTCCCAGCCCCCCCCTCCCCCCCCCCCCCCCCAACCAGTTTCGGCGACACCCACCTCCGAGCCATCTACCGCCTCTCCCTAGGCCTAGGCTTCGTCCCAGCCATGCTCGTCTTTTTCTGGCGTCTCAACATGGAAGAACCCGAGAGATTCAGAAAAGACTCGATGAAGAACGCGAGGATACCTTATGGGTTGGTGCTGAGGAGGTATGGGGCGAGGTTGGGAGCGATTGGGGTTACGTGGTTTTTGTATGATTTTATTGTTTATCCGGTGAGTTGGGTTTTGGGTTTTGTTGGTTTTGGTTTTTTTTTTGGGGTGGGGATAGGTTGAGTGGGTGAGTGGGTGGGAGGAAGTGGTGGGAGAGGGAAGAGGGAAGGGAGATGGTGGGGAGGGGGTGGAGAGTGGAGGGGTGAGCCTGGAAGAAACAGGAAGCTGACGGACACTTTCGCCTTTCTTTTTTGTGCGTGTAGTTCGGGATTTTCTCGACTACGATTTTGGACAGGTAAGTCCGAGAGGACTGTTTTTACATATCCTTGCATCCGCATCAGTATCTTTTCTGTTTTTTGTTTTTTATGGCCGTATATCTGAACATTTTTTTTATATAGCGTTACCGGTGGCTCTGAACGTCTCTCAGTCATCTTTGGTTGGAACGTTGTGATCAAGTAAGCTCCTTTTTTTTTTTCTAAAATACCAGTTTCTGGGTGGGGTAGAAGAAGGGAAGAACAGTTATTGACAAGCACTCCCCTTCCCCTCCCTCTTATCTCTTTTAGCTTGTTCTACATTCCTGGTACTGTTGGTGGAGCGTTCATTGTTGATTATCTGGGACCAAAATGGACCATGGTACGCTCTTATTCCTTCCTCCTACCTCATCCATCCATCCTCACCCTCACCCTCAATCAACCTCTTTCCCTCCCTCCCTACCTCCCCTCCCCTTCCCCTTCCTTCTCCTTCTCCTTCAGGTCGTCGGCCTCCTCTCCCAAGCCATCATCGGATTCATCATGTCCGGAGCCTACGTCCCCCTAACGAACCACATCGCTGGATTCGCAGTGGTGTATGGGATCTTCCTTTCGTTGGGGGAGTTGGGACCTGGGAACTGTCTGGGGTTGTTGGCTAGTAAGACGAGTCCTACGGCTGTGAGGGGACAGTTTTATGGGACTGTTGCGGCGGTTGGGAAGGTTGGAGCGTTTGTGGGGACTTGGGCGTTTCCGGCTATGGTTGATGGTGAGTTTTGACTGCGTGAAAGAATTGTTTATCTTTTGTTTTGTTTTTTTTGGATGGGCTTGGGGATTGGAATTGTGTGTGTTTGTGTGGAGGAGTAATGGAGGGGTAGGGGAGGGGAGGGGAGGGGGTGTTTGCGATTCTTTTTGATTGGGTCGTCTCGTTGGGCTTATAGGATAGTTCTTGTATTGACAGAAACGTATTCTCTCTTTTTTCTTCTTTTTCAGATTTCGGAGGTTCCGATACGACGAAAGGAAACACGGGGCCGTTCTGGGTCGCAAGTGCGCTGGCGGTCGTGAGTGCGTTGGTGACGATTTTCTTTATCAAACCGTTGTCGCATGATGGGATGGAAGAGGAGGATCTTAAGGTGGGTTTTTGGTTTTTTGGTCCCTATCTCCCTTTCTTTTTTTTTGTGTACATATATACATATATTTTCTCGTCTTTTTTTTTTTTTTGACATTTCACTTTTTTCCTTTCACTGGATGGGGCTGATTAACAATTGCTTTATCGAACAGTTCCGAGAATACCTCGAACAGAACGGGTATGATACTTCGCAGATGGGACTGAAGAGCGAGGTGTCGTCAACGGTAGGAGGGGAAGGGTCAGTGGAGAAAGTGCCTGTTTGAGTTGAGAGTTTTGAGTATTTTCTTTTGTGTGTGTGTGATGAGGCGAATGGCGGCGGCGGTTAACGGGATAAAACGTTGTTACATACTTACGAGGGGGAACCTAAGAGAAGGGACGGGACTCGGAATGGGGTCCGTTGGTGTGCTCTCCTTTTTTTGTTGTTGCTGGATTGTTGCGTTATTGTATGATTGCCCTTTGATGTCCTTACGTACCCCCAGACCTAGTTACGCTCTGTATTTCAGTGACGACGTTGTAATGTTTCGTTTTTCGTGTCTGTTTAATGTCCATTTTTGTGTTTTCGAGCTTTTCGTTTACTTCTCGGTTTCACGAGATCTTGGGTTTTGACAGCTTTGTACGGTTCGCGAAACGGCCCACGGGATTGAAAAAACTTTGAGAAATTGGAAGAGTTGCGAGCATCTTGGTCTTGGGGGAAAATGAACTTCAAGATAGATATGGTAGCATGGAGGCATAGAGAGATCTACCGGAGGTGGAGAATGGCCCGGAGGCAAAAGATGGCCCGGAGGCAGAGCAGTAAAACGGATGGCCGGGAGGGCCCCTATGTACGGAGCGATGAGAATGTGATACAGACGAGTCGGAGATACTCAGGATGACTAGTCTGTTGTACAAAAAAAACAAGATATACACCTACTCATGGACACACTGGGAATTGAACCCAGCACCCCCGCAGCCGCGATACATGCTAGTAAAATGCTAAGCGGATGTGATAACCAACTACACCATGTGCCCATCTTTGGAACATCTCGAGTTCGAAAATGTGGAAAGTCGACGTAGTCGAGGATAACTGCTTTTTCTCTTAACCAAGTTTCATCTATCTCTTGCCTCCGAGTCGCTGAATATAAGATTTCACCTTTTCCTGCTGACCGTATTTACATATGTTACCTTTTTCCCTTGACCATATCTCATATCTTTCTGGGCTTATACCTAAGTAGAGGGATTCGATGACCAGGCCTTCTTCACCTGTTCTCCCATTGAAGTCCTGATTTTGACCTGATTATCTATTTTTTCTGCTTCTAACCTGTTCTCTGATGCAAGACTTTAGTTTACTTCGTCGTGTTACCCACCCCCTATCATTTCGTTCTTAACCTTTTTGTTCAAAATAGGATGAAACTATCTTGCATTTTGCTACATACACTGATACTGCAGCTGCTTGTTGTATATTAAAGCCATAACACGTCGCTGATTTCAGGGCGTCTTCGTGACAACCTATCCTCTCTATCGTTGGAGAACCCAACTTTTCGAACGATGATCAAGAGGCATACGAAATTTTCCCCGCGGCCGGTGGTTTGAACATTTTTTGAGACTTTTAGTTTGTCTTATTACTAGGTTTCAACAAATGATCTCCAGGATGGAAAAAAAAAATTTAGAAACCGCCATTTTTAGTTCTTCCAGCGACGCACTATCTTCATCTGAAAGACACATATATACTATATTATCACAAAAAAAATATAATAAGCTTCGATGCTATATAGCACTCCGATGTGAGATAGTAGGAAGGGAAAGCTCGGAAACTCTTTAAACAAATATTTTTGCATCTCTTGAAGTCCAAGCTTCAGAAATCAAACTTGAGCGACACTAGCAGGAGCAGGCGAGCTGGGAGCATGACTATATCCTGTATGTTGCTGCTGCATCTGAGGAGCGTATCCTTGCTGTTGTTGAGGACCAGTGTACTGCTGCTGCATCATCGGTGGTTGCTGCTGTTGGTATCCCTGTTGTTGCATTTGTTGCTGTTGGGGAGGATACGAAGGTTGCGTTTGGTACGCCATGGAAGCACCTGTCATGTCGGTAGTGGGCTTCGCGTTCGGGTCATACTCAAAGTAGTTGGGCGCGTCGGCGGGGACGAGCCAGACGGTGTTTCCTCGAGATTTTCCGATGATGCAGATGACGATCATCGTGGCGACGTAGGCGAGCACTGAAAAGAAATAAGAGTGAGCAATGGGTGCAGAGATGAGAAATGACTGGAAGGAAAAAGAGTGAAAAACGTACGGAAAATCCAAACAACGAAAGCAAGACCTTCGATGGCAAAAAATTCGCTGCAGAAGGTTTTTGTGATAGCTGTTCAATAGCGAGCTCAGTATCCAGTGGAATATGATATCTTTTTGGAGAGCTGCTTACAATTGGCACGAGCAGGACAACCATCAGGGTACAGAAGGGGCACCCAGGATGTGCACAAAATGGCCAGAGCGAACCAGAGAACCCAGAGGAAACCCGCAACGGGTATCTCGACAACGTTCATGTTCAGCCAGGCTCCTTTGCGTAGGAACCCGATGACGACACTAGTAGAAGATTTGGAAATGGGTCTGAGTATCTTTCGCTTTGCGGTGATTGATCTCGAAAGAACTCACATAGGTGTTAACATGAGCAGTGATAATACCGCCGATGCGATAGCAAGTCCCTGGAAATCGTAAACGACATTTCGGTATGTCTGAGCAGTGCTAGCCATATGTCCTGCTATTCCGAGCATCGCAAAAGAGATGACGAGAACAAAGCCTCGAAAACGCGTATCATGTCAGTCAAGACTCAAAAATTATTGTTCATCAACTTACAAAAGACGCCCAATCTGAAGTAAGGGATCCAAACCATGTTTTCGAATTCGTTAGGTCTCGTAGACTGTTCGTGACGGGTTGGGGATGGGACGCGCGAGACGGGATTTCTGTTGAGTTGGGGTCTTTTATACTGCTGTGAGGGTTATGGTCACCACGCAAGACCCTGGGCTCGGGCAGGGACTCGGCATTCATTGACACTCACAGGTTAAACCTGTCATGTCTCCTGTCAGAAAAGTAGGATCAGGCATACCTCAAACTCGGAAGTATATGGGTCCATTATGTCTTTGCAACGTGTAAGAGCTCATACTGGTGTATGTTGGAAAAACGGTCTTTGTACTCAGGATGTATAGAGCTGAATGAGTAAATGAATCCTGGCCCGATCAAGAATCTGAACAAGTACGTTCAACGATCCGGGTCCGACGTAAAGTGTTTATTTCACACATGTCTATCATTCATCCTTGCACTATCATTGATTTTCGCTCGCGAAAAAACGGGTTTGTACGTCTAGAAAATTGAAAAACGCTGCCATGCAAGGATACATAAAATGTCACGAACAAGGGGAATTCGCACCTCAAGGACCCTTAAACATTAAGCCTTGTGGTAGGGTAGATCAACCGGATGATACAATTTGGATTCAGGCACAAAAGCTTGGCTTGTAGAATGACATGTCGCTGTAGCACTAACCTAGCAACCTTCAAGTCACAACCCATGACAGGATCTCACGATTCCGCAACCCACAAAAGTTCCTAAATGAAAGATATGCGTGCCCGATCCCCGAACAGCCTCTGGACTATTAGTATCGAGTAATCTAGAGGCGGGACGAGACTCGTCTGAGCAGCTATAGTTCCTTCCAATTGAACTTGTCTTCCCAAGCTAGTGCAGCCTTATAAACTGTCAATTCGTCCAAGTGCTTTCCGACTACTTGCAAACCAACCGGAAATTTGAGAGATGGCTCTTCCAAGGATTCAAGCATACCGACGGGCCTGAAGGGGAATGTTCAGTGTACTTCGTCATACGTTCCGAGCCGGAAATTGGCGCTCACATACTCAAAGCCGGATGCCCAGTCACATTAAATGGGCACGTATTGAGCGTTTGTCCTAAACTCTTTGAGATCTTCTCCAGCACGTCTGCCTCCTTGGCTGCGTGCTTATTTGGAAGATAGGGAGTCGTGGGCATGACAAGAATGTCTACATCAGAGAGGGCCTCAGTATATTTAGCGCGAAGAAGATGTATTTGGTTTGTTGCTTTGCCGTAGAGTTCAGGCTGGTAAAAAGGTGGGTAGACGATGAGAAGCCACACGTCAATAACCAGACACAACGCCTTACGTGTTTATCCCACAAGTACATCCCATTCAAGATCATGTTCTTCGGGGCCCAAGGCAAGCTGTCCCAGCCTCGCTTACTCTTGATACTCTCATCCAGTTTCTTCGTCAGTTCATTGATGTAGAAGCCTTGGACACCAGACGAGCCCCCCAGAAGAATCGGTATACAGCCCATGCGAGCTACACAGACCCAGAGAGTGGGTCCCAAAATGTGCATCTAAGGGTGAAATGATCATGTTGGGTTGTCCTGACACTACACTATAGAACATGACACTCACCGGTACCGAAACTTCCTTGACCTCTGCCCCTAACTCCTTCCATCTCGCAGCTGCCTCTCGACATTTTGCTGCGATTCTTGGATCATTCATACCACCTCGTTGGCAGACATCGAAACCTTCTTTTAGCAAACCCACTTTAAAACCTTTCAGAGGAAGATTTCCTCCCTGAGATCGGAATTGTTCCAGTAAGCTCGGGTAATCAGGTACGTCTTCAGGGAAGGGGATGTTCGGAGCTCCTGAGTTGAGTTTGACGTCAAAAGCATCTCGTCCAGCAACAGCTTTGAGAAATAGAGCATTCTCCCTGCAGGTACGCGTCATAGGGCCTGTATGGTCAAAGCTAGGTTCTGCACTCAATGAAGGTTTTGGTCAGAAGGTGCAACACATACAAGAAGTGTGCCATGCCATACCTAAAGGTGCAATTCCCGTGTACGGAACCAATCCAAATGTTGGTTTCATCCCATACAACCCACACCAGCTGCATGGAAGCCTTACACTCCCTCCCTGGTCTCCGCCAATTGCAAGATCTGCTTGACCAAGAGCAACAAGTGTACCGCACCCGCTAGAAGAGCCTGCCGCGTCCCATCCCTTTGCAAACGGGTTATGAACGGGTCCAGTAGAAGCGCTGAAACTAGAAGCAGACATAGACATGTTCTCACACGTCCCTTTGCCTAAAAGGGTGGCACCTGCTAACAGAGAGCGAGAAACAACGGTCGCATCTGATGTTGGAACCTAGACGAACAGTGATAAGGCCTCGAGTAGATATGAGCGAAGACATGCAAAGTATTCACCCATCCACTGAACACGTCTGTTCCTAGCATAGCTTCGACGCCAGCCACGCTCACATTGTCTTTCACAATAAACGTCTTACCAGACAAAATGCCGAGTTTGTCAGAGTCAGGCCAAGTGTCTTTGACCTAGATACGCGAATGAACTCTGTTTCCACAAAATAGAAGAAACTCGGACTTACAGTGCATTTCCAACCCCATGCTCCCCATTCGTTCCCCTCTTCACCCTCGCGACCCGGGAAATGAATAACCTCCCGGGGAAAGCGCTCCAGGTTTGTTGGAGGCTCAAAATCTACAAGCTTAATGAGTATCAGCCGTAACGCTGAGTCTGACGATGCACACCAGGTAGAGCCAAGACCTCCTCCGTGGAGTCATGCAGAGCTTGGAGGAGCGTCAGATACGAGGGCTCATCCTTTGGATCCAAGGCAATTGTTTCGTTGGGTTTAGCTCTGGATGAAAGCTTTTCCAGGACATGTGAAAGCGAGTCCTTATTAATAGGATTGTCTCTATGTCCTTCGTCAATAGTCTAGAAAGCACGAAGAATGATACGTTCAAACTCACCCCGATATCTCTAGAGAAGTGACGGACATTTCGACAAAAGAGTTCTCGAGGGACTATTAGCAGACGAAGGTGACAACAGATAGTAGACGAAACCGTGGTATAAGTTATCGTAGGAACACCTCGTTTCCGGGCGATAAATTGAGTACAGGATAAGAAAGAAGGACAACTTGATAACGAAGATTCGGAAACCGGCAGCTTGAAGAAACATATCTTTTAGGCGCCCGCGGAACACACGGAA